TGTAGAATAAACCTTTATAAAGTTTCATTAGTTCCATGAACATCACCACTTTCCACTTGGCCTGAAAACTTCAGATGTAACTGGCTGATGAAACAGTGATTTTTTCTCGTAGATGATGCATGGCACTTTTTCGTCTTCACTTTCGTCCCTTAAGGTTTTCCTCGAACATTCCTTGTAAATGTGTTAGGCACGTAGGCCGAACGTGTAGGGACGCCGTCGGGTAAGTTATTTGTGGGGCGAGAGAAGAAAGAAAAAAAAGAAGATACACTCCAAAAAAAATTTAGGATGATATTAAACATTCACTTAGAAAGAATTGTGCGCTACGATATTATTCTTTTCCGCGTATCGGTGCACAGTGGGATTGGAGTATAGTTAGGTGTTGTGTGACACCTCCTTTGTTGTTCTTGATACGAAAAGGGTCATGAAATGCCCAAAAGAGTGGTTAATGCGACAATGTGCGTGAGAATGCTTACTGCCAGGTAGGCCAGTCGTGAGAGGAGAGGAGAGAACCCGAGTTAATGAGGAAAGTGCACAGTATGGGTTGAAATAATGAGCAAAGAGCGTAAACGTTATAGTTGGGTTTTGGACAGAGATGCGTAGAATGGGTATGGATGGGTAAATAATATAGTAGGTTATAATATATATAGAATAGTATAGCTATAAACTATATAAATATAAATATAAATATAGAATATAAGAAATAAAATATACTAATAGTATATATATTAATAATATATATATAGATCATATTATGTACTGGTAAAGAGCATGATATTTTATGTATGTACTGTATGGAACTAGATAAGAAGGAGAGCAGAGAGTAGGAGCATAGTGTGTGTACAGATAGTATAGTAAGAGAGGAGAGGATAGAGATGATAGTAATATATAGCTATAGAAGTAAGTAAGAGAGTTATAATAATCATAGGAGATAATATCAGTAGTAACTAGTAGATAGTGTGTGTTATGGTAGTGTGTGTGTGGTGTGTATGTGGGTGTGTGTGTGTAGGGTGGTGTGTGTGTGTGTAGATAGTGTGTGTGATGTGTTGTGTGTGGAGTGGTGCGTATGTGTGGTGGATGTGATGGTGTGGTGTGATGTGTGAATAGATAGAATAGATGAGAGGAGAATGGGATAGGATAATACCACATAGCAGTAATATATTGATCTATCAGTAATATTAGATATAATATATAGTTTATCTATATATATGTAATCATATACTCATGTATTATATATAGTGAATATACTAGTATGATATAGTTATATGTATAATATTGGAGAGATAGCATGAATGGTATGCATATATAATATAAATATAATGATAGAGGGTATAGTACGAAGTAAGATAAGAGTGTATATGTCATTGCTATATAGTAGTTATAAGGTAAGTATGGAGATGATAAGAGAAGAGAGGAGAAATATAAGAGAGCTAAGTAAGTATAAGAGAGTAATGAAGTAAGAGATAGATGGTGATACGTGATGGATGGAGGATAGTGTGTTTGGTGTGTGAGTAAGGAGGAGTGCTGTGTTCGTACCTGGAGTGGTAGGTAGGTAGATGTGTGAGGAGATGGTAGGGAGTAGATGAGATGAGGTAGGGTGTTGTTTTTGGCAGGAGGCAGTTTAGAAACTAAATTACATAATCCAATGTTTCTCGTGTTAAGGGCCAAGGTCACGGATAACCGTGAATTGAAAGGGACATGTTCCCTTGTTCCCCTCCGAGAGGTCCGGCAACGGTGATCCACAATACATACATTAGGAGCCGTTTATTTTTCTTCGCTCCATTTTTGTTATGACTTCTGAAGCATTGTTTGAATTTCAAAACCTTTACGAGCGTTCGGCAGGCACGCCCAAGTTCGACCTCCGACCTTTCCCGCGCGCATGCGCCGGACCATCAGCCAGTTATGTTACTATTAGCGTGTCATTAATTAAAAGACGCGATGGTCGGATCCAGGATGCGACTTTCGCCGGTTCTCATTTCCAGGTCTGCTCGCTCGGCGAAGGAAGGAAAATGAAAATGCATAATGCATCTTAAAAGTCATGCGTAAGATCGAGCATGACCTTTGCGTTATTTAGGGGGATATCCGTTGCGGTTTTATTGAGGCGTAGCAAATGTGATGGCCGCTCTCTCATTTGCTGATTCTCGATAGGTTGGCGGCGAGGAGTTCCGCGGCGGAGTCGTTCGAAAGTTCGGAAAGAAGTC